GAGCATGGGTATACCCTTCAATTCAGACGCAGACCACCCCGTTTCAATGGCGTGGTGAAGTCGCTAACATTGCCTCGAAACGCCCTGGTTCTGAGACAAGAGGTATGCAGTCTGCTCGAAAAAGGAGCGATAGAACGAGTCCCTCCCAGCGAGCTGGAGAGCGGGTTTTACAGCCGCTATTTCGTGGTACCCAAAAGAGACGGGGGACTCCGCCCGATTCTAGATCTCAGGCCCATCAACAGAGCGCTTTGCAAGCGTCCATTCAGGATGATAACGCTGAAACAAATCCTGGCGCAAATTCGCCCCGGGGACTGGTTTGCGTCCGTGGATTTAAAGGACGCATACTTTCACATTCAGATAGCACCGCATCACAGATGCCTTCTGGGGTTTGCTTTCGAGGGCACAGCGTACCAATACTCTGCTCTCCCGTTCGGGCTGGCTTTGGCCCCGCACACTTTCTCGAAGTGCATGGATGCAGGACTTTCCCCCCTCAGAGCGAGCGGGATGCGCGTTCTCAACTATCTGCATCGAAGCTCTGAGGCCGTGGCGCAACCCAGATCTCTTCAGCCAGGGGGTTCCCCTGGGCTTGGTGATGTCACGCATCGACTCACGGCTGAGGAGCAGTGTGCGAGGGCATGCCGGCTTCGGGGCTGTGGTCAGAACCCCAGAGCCAGTGGCACATAAACCGCTTGGAGCTGGAAGCAGTGTTCATAGCTCTAAAGGATTTTCGGCCGCAGCTGGAACAGCTACAGGTACTAGGCGGTGGCACATAAACCGTTTGGAGCTGGAAGCAGTGTTCTTAGCTCTAAAGGATTTTCGGCCGCAGCTGGAACAGCGACATGTACTGATTCGCACCGACAACGTCTGTGGTTTCGTACATAAATCACCAAGGGGGCGTACGATCCAAGGCTCGGTACAAGCAGGCAGCGAATCTCCTACTATGGACGAACCGTCACTTTCTCTCCATCAGAGCAGCGCACATCCCCGGTCTCCTGAACCGCGGGGCGGACATGCTTTCGAGGCAGGGGATTCCTCAAGGAGAGTGGAGGTTGACCCCCGAGTCGGTTCGGATGATTTGGACCCGCTATGGGAGAGCGGAGGTGGATCTGTTCGCCATGAGCGAGAATGCGCACTGTGCGCTGTTCTTCTCCCTGTCTCACTCCCCGCTGGAAGGGGACGCTCTGACATCGCACTGGCCAGCAGCCAGGCTGTATGCGTTTCCTCCAATCAAGATATTGCCACTGGTGTTATGCAAGATCAGGGAGGAGGGGGCTTCGGTGATACTCATCGCCCCGAACTGGCCGAACCAGCCTTGGTTCCCGGACCTGACAGAGCTGCTGGTGGCGCCGGCCTGGCCGATCCCCATCAGGAAGGATCTGCTGTCTCAAGCGAGCGGCTCGGTGTCAACGCCCCGAACTGGTCGAACCAGCCTTGGTTCCCGGACCTGACAGAGCTGCTGGTGGCACCGCCCTGGCCGATCCCCATCAGAAAGGATCTGCGGTCTCAAGCGAGCACGCAGCCAGGCTGTATGCGTTTCCTCCAATCAAGATATTGCCACTGGTTTTATGCAAGATCAGGGAGGAGGGGGCTTCGGTGATAATCATCGCCCCGAACTGGTCGAACCAGCCTTGGTTCCCGGACCTGACAGAGCTGCTGGTGGCACCGCCCTGGCCGATCCCCATCAGAAAGGATCTGCGGTCTCAAGCGAGCACCTCGGTGTGGCACCCGAACCCGGAGTTATGGAGCCTTCATGTGTGGCTGCTTCGGGGATATCAGAGGAGCTGAATGCTCTGCATTCTCGTGTGCTCGACACGCTCTCGGAGGCGCGGGCCTTCGGGAATTGTCAGAGGAGCTGACCGCCCTGCATTCTCCTGTGCTTGACACGCTCTCGGAGGCACGGGCACCTTCCACAAACCGTTTGTATGCTCTAAAATGGGGAGTGTTTGTGGTGCCGTGATGTTCATATCGTCCCGGCTGCTTGCTCCGTGTCGGATTTTCTGCATTTTCCACAGTACAGGCTGGATAGTGGATGTCTACCATCAACACTGAAAGTCTATGTGGCTTCTATTGCCTCGTTTCGTTCCCCGCTGGGCGGGCAATCGATCGGTAGGCACGCGCTGGTGGTGAGTTTTCTTAAGGGAGCGAGAAGATTGCATCCCCCACGTCTGCCTTCAGTCTCACCCTGGGACCTAGAGGTGGTGTTAAGAGCTCCTTCACAGCCACCATTCGAGCCTTTAGCATCCGTTAATATGAAGGAGTTATCTCTCAAAAGTGCACTTCTTCTTGCCCTCGCTTCGGCTAAGCGCATAGGGTGGTGCGAAGGGCCGGGCCGTGTCAAAACAGAGACTTTCCCACTGGATTGTGGACGCTATCATGGCTGCTTATAAGAGCCAAGGTTTGGAATGCCCCTTTCACATTAGGGCCCACTCAGCAAGAGCTATCGCCTCCTTCTGGGCGTGGTCGAGAGATATGTCTATTCAAGATATATGCTTTGCAGCCGACTGGTCTTCTCCGAATACCTTCGCCAGGTTTTACAAGCTGGACGTTCAGTCCTTAGCCTACAAAGACCTTGTTTTTACCCGGCGTGGATACACAAATTGGAAGTCAGCATTGGAGAAAGATAAGGGGTTTCAAAAGCATGCATCCTGCCATGGGCACATACATGCTGCGAAATCATGGGCCGAGTATGAGAGTAGAAAGGCCAGTGGTGAAACCATATCCGGTTTGTTGGGGCAAACGCATGTGGAGAAAGATCGCTATTATGTCAAGTCATTAGCTGAAGTTGTGCGCTTCCTTTCTGTCAACGAGCTTGCATTTTGTGGTAGTTCTGAAGGCACTCGTTGTGAATCTGACAATGCAGATCATAGCACTGGGCTCTTCTTTAAACTTTTTGACTATACTTTGACAAAATACACAAAATTGGCAGAAATTGCAAGAAGTATACCTCAAAATGCAAAATACACTTCTAACCACATGCAAAATTAAATCATTGACACATTAGCACAGTGTGTGCTGAATGAGGTAAAACAAAAATATGAAAGTGCAGACACATCAGAATTCTGTATAAAAAGTGATGGAACTCGAGATAGATGTAATGTGGAGAACCTGTCACTAGTGATAAGGTTTGTGTGCAACTCAGTTCCAGAAGAGCACCTAATTGGCCTGCTTGATCTTGAGCAGTTGAATGCAGAGTACATTACCTCACAAATTCTTACAGCCCTGGATGATCAAGGTTATAGTACTGACAAAATCATCAGTCAGTGCTATGATGGTGCCTCTGTCATGAGTGGTATCAGGGGTGGGGTGCAAGCTCTGCTTCAAAAGAAACTTGGTAGAGAAATACCATACATCCACTGCTACAACCACCAACTTCACTTAGCAGTAGTGCATGCCATTCAAGCAGAACCTTGTGCAAGAACGTTTTTTGATTTGTCTTCAGCACTTCACTCACTTTTTCATCGCCAGTATGTTATACATAACTGTGATGTCCCTTGCCTTAAAAGGCTGCTGGAGATTAGGTGGACAAGCCACTATGATGTGACAAAGTGTCTTGTAGACAATAAGGAGGATGTTTTGGCCATTCTCTCAGAGGTTTCACACAGCAGTACTGCACCCATGGATATCAGAACAGAAGCATCTGGCTTGATGGTGCAGCTAGAAACACACAACTTCTTCAAAATTGGCGATTTCCTTGTAAAAATACTTGGGGTCTTAAAACCTGCAAATGCTGTGTTCCAGGGTAACACTGTAAATTTATGTATTGTTTACTGATTGCCCGCCCAGTCCAGCGAGCCTAGTACCGGGCCTGCTAACACACACATGCATATTCAAACGTGTTCACATGTAATTTATTCCTGTGATCAAAGCTGAATTTTCAGCATCATTACTCCAGTCTTCAGTGTCACATGATCCTTCAGAAATCATTATAATATGCTGATTTTCTGCTCAAGAACCATTTCTGATTATTATCAATGTTGAAAACAGTTGTGCTGCCCAATGTTTTTGCAGAAACTGTGACACATTTTATTTTTCGGGATTCACAGATGAATAGAAAGTTCTAAAGAACAGCATTTATTTGAAATAGAAATCTTTTGTAACATTATACGTTTTACTGTCACTTTTTCATTAAATTAATGCATTAAAATAATTAATAATAATAAAAAAAATCTCACTGACCAACATCTTCCACCTTTTAGCAGTAATAAATATAGGCAGCTATATAATTTGTAAAAACACATTTTATGTGGGAAAAATAGCTAATACATTTAAAAACAGCATGGTTACCATTGTACTAAATCCTAAATAAAAACGAATTAAATCTTTTTCTTACATTTTATTTTTCAGGATTTTTTGATGAATAAAAGGTTCAAAAGATCAGCATTTATTTGAAATAGAAATCTTTAGTAACTTTATACATGTCTGTACTGTCACTTTTAATAAATGTAATGTATCTGTACTTTTATTCAGCTTAATTTCTTTGAAAACCAAAACTTTTACGCTGTAGTAACATACTTTCATCATAACTTCAAACTAAAATAACTTTTATCATTGCTATATTTTTGTTGTTGTAAGAAAAATATTGTATATCATTTTCTTTATTTACTTAAGTTTCATTGTTATTTTAATCATTTTAGTTTCTTATACTCTAAATTTGGCATAAAAATGCTGCTGATATGTCATTAAAACAATAAATGAATTAATTTATTGTACTTGCCACAACCATTTTTGAATTCATTTGGCACTTGTTGTATGTTTGTTTTGGACCCTGTATGCCCGTATGTTTATTTTGGCTGTAAATGTTGATCAGAATGCAGACTAAAATTTTATTAACTTTATTAATTTTAATCAGCTTTTTCTTTTTGTCAATTATGCATTTGGCAGTTGCTTTTATAAGTGACTTAAAGCATACAGCATGTGTACCTTAAACCATTGAAATGAATATTTGTGTGCCTATGTGTATATATATTCTCGTGTGTGTGTGTGTGTGTTTGTGTGTGTAGCGTACGTCCCGACTCTAGAGCTGGGCTGTGGTTTAGGTGTGACGCTGGCGCTCATGTTGATGATGTTTGTCATCTATCACGTGTTCTGGCTCGAGCTGCTGCTGCTCTATCGCTCATGGTTCGGCTCTGATGAGAGATACACAGGTGAGAGATACACATAAACACATATGTTAACACGTACTTGTGTGCTTCTCCCAGGCGTGCTGGTGCGAACTGCCGCATACTCGTATAAATGCTCGAATGCGATGACAGGAGATTTTTAATAACATTTAATAATAGATTACATTTTCGATTTGTTTCTCGGCAAACCCTACTGTATGCCTTCAGAACACTTGGAATATGGAATGAGTTGCATGGGATAATTTTATATTTGTCAAAAGATTGAAAAGTTTACAATTTATTAAATGGACAAGTGCAATTTTTTGATGTCTTCTTTTGTGATCCAAAAAAAATAAGCCCTTAGAACAGCATCAGGTTGACTAATTACTGGTTATGAAGGGATAAATAAACTACAAACTGTGAGAGCGAGCGAGCAAAATAAGGGTTAGGTGTAAAAGAGCACATAGTTATTGCATTGGGACCCCACACTTGACTGTTCACAGACTGAACTCTGTCTGTGTCTGCAGACGATAAGCAGTATGATGTGTACATCTCATACGCTCGCAACAGTGAGGAGGAGGAGTTCGTTCTGTCCACGCTGCGTCGAGTCCTGGAGACTGAGTTCGGTTACTCTGTCTGCATCTTCGACCGGGACAGTCTTCCTGGAGGAAGTGAGTATCACATGACTCCAAACGTACTGTACTGTACAGCAGGGCTTCCCAAACAGCGGTTCACCAAAGCGGCTAAATTCACTGTAAACAAGCTGCAAACTCCATCTCTGCGAGTTTAACATGCATTTGGGAACACATACCTTTACTTCATTCACATTCACAAAATTACCCACTTTTTGTGGACAGATGTTTACAGCATTTTACAGATATTCTGCCAAAATAAAAGCTTGAAGATTTATTTGAAATGTTTCATTTTTAATTTAAAATGTGGGAGGGTTTGAACATTTGAAATTGAAGAATTTCACATGAATATTAGTATTATAACTAAAAGCATAAAGTAAAATTATTATACAATTATTAAGCAACATCAGTGAACCATGAAAATCCAAATGTGATGTTAAATTATGGAAATATTAAAAGTTTGGGAATTCCTGCTTTACACAAGTACGTGATTATAGACAAATGTGCAGTTCATGATAAAATGCAAGTAAGTGTTAGTGTTATTATAACTAAAACCATTCAAATGTAATATATATATATTTTTATTTAAACAATGCTGAAATACAACAAAATAAAGATATTAAAATGAACAACAAAACTAAATAGAAATTAGAAATAAAACTGAAATAAAAATGTATTTACCTTAAAAAATTAATAAAAACTAGTGCTGTCAAACGATTAATTGCAATTAATCGCATTCAAAATAAGTTTTTGTTTACATAATGCGTGGGTGTGTGTGCTGTGTATATTTATTATGCATATATAAATACACACACATGCATGTATATATTTAAGAAAAATTGTATATTTGTATATTAAATATATTTATATATAATCTATATAAATATATACTTGTAAATATTTTCAAACTATATACCGTATGTGCGTGTATTTATATATACATAATAAATATACACTGAACACACACATATATTACATAAACAAAAACATTTATTTTGGAAGGCAATTAATCGCGATTAATCATTTGACAGCACTAATCAAAATAAATGAAACCTAAATAAAAGAATAAAAGAAAAAAAAGAAAATAAAGACAATGAAATAAAAACCAAAATTGAACTAAAACTAAAATAAATTAATGTAAATAATATTACAAAACTAATGAAAATGACAGAAGCACAAAGTGACTAAAATTTAAACTAAAATCAAAACTGAAGATATCAAAATAAAAGCTAAATAAAATAAGACAAAAAGAAATAAAAACTAAAACTAATCTAAAACTGAAATAAATTAAATTTAACTTGTAGTATTGATAAATTGATAAAAAAAATGACAACAGCCCTTAACACAATGACAAAATAAACTACAATTAAAATGAAACTTGAAATTATAAAAATAAAAGGTAATTGTAAATACTACTGAAAACTAATTTTATATAAATGTGTTGATTAAATAAGTGTTGATCAGATACTGTCATGCAGAACTAGTTAAACTGTTTGATGACGTACTTGTGTATGACTTGTGTGGTGTGTTTCTGAGTGTGTGTGTCTGTGTGTAGCTATAACAGACGATACGCTGAGGTTTGTGGGTCAGAGCCGCAGGCTGGTGGTGGTTGTGAGTCCGTGCAGCGCTGTCCGCGGGACACAGGCTCTGCTCGAGCTGCAGGCTGGACTGACCAGCATGCTGCACGGCGGCAGCCTCAGGGTGGTTCTGATCCAGTTCAAACCGGTCCGGAGGAAGAGCTGGGTCAAAGAGCTGCGCCGGGCCCGGCTGGCGCTGACACTCATACGCTGGAAGGGCGAGAAATCGGCCCCTCTGTCCTCACGCTTCTGGAAACAGCTGCAGCTCGAGCTGCCCATGAGGAGGGACACACAACACACACACACACACACCCAGCTACCGGATATCACACAACACACACCCGACACACACACACAAAACACACGTCAGGCAGAAGAGAAACTCAGCGATCCTTATTCTACCAGTGCCTTATAGACAACCAGCATACGTACCCTCGCTCACTTGATTTGTATAGCGCTTTTCACAATATGCATCATTTAAAAGCAGCTTTACAGAAAAAAAGAAATAGTAGATGTCATATAGGAGTTTCAGTGTAGATTTAGTATTACATTTGTACTATTATGGTATTTAGTCATATTTTGAATTTTATATTTTTTAGTTTCCATTTTAATGTTTAGTTTCGGTTGTTTTGTGTGTGTTTTTTTTAAACTATATATAGTAAGTAATGAAAATGACAAAACCACACAACCTATATATATATATATATACCCACACACACACACAATTTTTTTATTTAAATAGTATTTCAATTTATTGTATTTCCGTTAGCTGCTGAGGCAACATACCTAATTTCCGTTTAAGTTACTTATGTTATTAAGCTTTCATTAGGGAATTTCGGTGTTAATTTAGTATTTTTAAGCTATTGCAGTATTCATGTTCATGTAATATTTTATTTTATTTTATTTTATTTCAACTTTTAGTTAACAAAAATGGTTTTGAATAGTTTTAGTTAACAGTAACAATACTTTGTCAGCCAAACTCCTTTGAGCTAAAATATTCACTTGAAGTCCATCTGAGATTTTAGGTTAATATTTCAAAAATGTACCAACATATTGTATATTCGCCGTTCTCTGATGTCCGTTAATGATCAAATAACATACAGGTAAAAACATTAAAAATATAAATATTTTTGGTTTTTATTTTGAAGTTATTTATTTTAATGTTATGATTATGATTTATTAGCTTCTTATGGACTCTTAAACCCTCTGCAGTTCCCTCAAGCACCAACAGGGGGTGTGAAACCCTGTTCTAGTGGGTTTGGATTGTAGTGCATTTATCTAGTACACTAGATTACAAACGCCACTTCTGTCAATGTCTGACTTCTGAAATAGTGACCTAATGCAGGACACTGTGGCTTTCTCCATAGACTTACATTAGAAAATGCTTGCATTAGAAAATAGTTGCTGATGAAGGCTCAGTTCAGATCAGAGGTGTGAAGTGTGTTACTGAACATCAGCCACAAGAGGGCAGAATCCTGCTGCAAGTAATGCTGGTTTGAATGAGTTTTTGAGGGTTCATTCCCTCTTTCATGCTGCACAACAAACTTCCAGCTGTTATCATTCAGTTGCATTTTATTCTCAGTATGTTTCAGTTGTTGTCATGCATCACTGAGTTCATCTTATATGACCATGTCATGTCCAGTATGTTCTGTGATCACATTTTTTTAACTGATTTGATAAATAAAAGTTTATTTTTGCATTTACATCAGTTTCATTGATTTATTTCATTACTCATGTCCACATGATTTCACACTGAATCTGATCATCCCATGACAGCAACTGACGTCCGTGTTCATTATTTACACTCATGATCATGATCAAGTGTTTCCCTTCAGTCATCAGTGAATAGAGGAAGTGGTAAAAACTCAACCAATCACATGCCGTCTGGCCCCAGTGAATCTGGTTTAGTGTGTGTTTCTCAAGGTCTGGAGAAGCCAGATCAACTCAGTTCTGATTCTCTGGAAAGAAAAACCCCACAAACATCTAAATATACCATAACCGTGAACACATACTTTCCAGCCGCTTTCGTTTTGTCAGTAATTTTTCCATTGGCAATTCAAAAAGTTCAAAAGGCATTCATATATGTACCACAATGCTGCTTGCCATAATTTTAAAGGAACAGTTCACCTAAAAATGTAAATTAGCTGAAAATGTCCTCACCCTCAGGCTACCTAAATTGAGTTTGCTTCTTCATCAGATTTGGAGAAATGCAGCATTGCATCAGTGTCTCAGCAATGGATGCTCTTCAGTGAATGGGTGCCGTCAGAATGAGAGTCCAAACAGCTGATAAAAACATCACAATAATCCACAAGTAATCCACACCTCTCCAGTCCATCAGTTAACATCTGGAGAAGACAAAAGCTGAAACTAATCCAGCATTAAGACCTTTTTAACTAAAACATGAGTCCATAATCCATAATAACGCTTCCAGTGAAAGCGGTCTGGTGTGAATCAGGAGAGAAATCTGCACAGATCAAGCACCACTTAAGACAAAACAGTCCAAAACAGCTCTGAACAAATATGTGAGTGGATTTTGATGTGAGAGACAACAGGAGATGGACTTTTACACTGGAGGAAGTGTTATTATGGGTTATGGACTCATGTTTTAGTTAAAAAGGTCTTAATGATGGATTTTTTACAAACACAGCGTTTGTCTTCTCAAGATGTTAACTGATGGACTGAAGTGGTGTGGATTACTTGTGGATTATTGTGTTTAATTTTGTTGATTGAATGGTTAATTTCTAAAATATGTATATGTGGCAAAGCTGAAAAAAAAACCCCCCATTGTATGTTGAGGCAGTGATCAACCCAAAACATAGGACTCCAGTTAAATCTCAACTATTAAAACTCAGATGAAATAATAAGAACTCCTCTTGAGAAGTCACACTTACAGTGAGATTATAGTTTACATACTTTATATTTGTAAGCAAAAGATTACAAACTTTGTGCTTAATTAACACATGAATATAGTGAATGATAGCGTTCAAAAGTTTGGGGTTGGTAAAAATTTTTTTATGTATTCATTTAAAAAAAACTGCATTAATTTGATCAAAAATACAATAAAAACTGTAATATTGTGTAATATTATTACAATTTAAAGTAGCTGTTGTCTGTTGTGATATATTTAAAAATTCATATGATGCGCAGCTGAATTTTCAGCATCATTACTCCAGTCTTCAGTGTCACATGATCTTCAGAAATCATTCTAATATCATTTGCTGCTCAAGCAACATTTCTGATTATTATCAATGTTGAAAACAGTTGTGCTGCTTCATATTTTTGTGGAAAGTGTATTTTTCAGGATTCTTTGATGAATAGAAAGTTCAAAAGAACAGCATTTATTTGAAATAGAAATTTTTTTTGTAGCATAAATGTCTTTACTGCCACTTTTTATTATTTTAAAGGGGTCATATGATGCTGCTAAAAAGAACATTATTTTGTGTATTTGGTGTAATTTATGCACCAAGAGCTTGTAACACTCCAAAGAGAAAGGAAAAATTGAAATCGCATCATATGACCCCCTTTAATGCATCCTTGCTGAACAGAAGTGTTAAGAGGCGCATGTAGACGCAGGTGTAATCAGCACCTGTTGTGTGTGTTTCTCTCTCTCAGATCTGATGGAGTCGGTTCTCAGGTGTATGCAGGCGTGTCGGCGGCTGCTGGTGGTGTTGAGCTCGGATTGTTTGTGTGAGAAGAGCATCAGTCTGCTGGAGTGTCGTCTGTGTTTGTACCTGCATCACGCGTCGCGTGTTCCTGTCATCACCGTGAGACGACGCGCGTTTAGCGCCCCCTGCGGCGACATCGCGCAACTGCGCAACAATTCCACCTCCATCCGCTGGCACGACGTGCGCTCCGAGCGAACCAACTCGCGCTTCTGGAAGCTTCTGCGGCTCGCGCTGCCTCTGCGACCGCTCGCGCTCGGGAAAAGACTCATCGATAGCACTTCCTCCCATTCGGACCTGGCGTCTGTGGCGACGCGTTACACGCATGCGCAGACTGTCTCGCTCAGTCGACGTAGCAAAGGGGGGCGGGGCGGAGTGAGACACCTGGGCGTGCGTGGGCGGGGCTGTGAGCAAAAGGGGCGGGGCTGCGCAATCTGCGTGAGTTTTCAGGAAAGTCGTCGAATTTGGGGCGGAGTTATTGCTACTCAGTGGAACACACACCTGCATCAGCCTGTAGCCAATGGGACGATACCTCACGCCACACACAACTCCAACAATGAACCCGGAAGTGACCCCGGCAACGACCTCTGCCCTTGTGAACCAATCAACAACAACCAGACAAATGAGCTACAAACCACTCACTGTTGACTCACACTGCTGGACAACGAACCAGCGAATATTATGAACGAAACGTGTAAATCACAATAACTTTATGGTAATATGTAATATGTAAATACTGACCATAAATTCAATAAACTAAATAAAATCAGGCTGACCTTTGACTTGAGTCTGAGATTTATTTTCACTGGCATGCTGCATGCTGCATACTGCACAGTACAGTATATATACTGTATACTGCATGCTTTTTAAAAAATAGTATGCAATGCAGTCTGCAACTAATGTTTTGAACCGTAGTATTCTGCATTGCATTATGGTATTTCATGCATTGAGCTCTGGTTGTCTATATTGCACTTACTATATTTCTGCAAACATTTTGCATACTCTATACATATGTATACTATGTATACTATCAAAAAGGGATGATATGCTGTTCTGAATATAAAAGTGGCAAGTTTCAGTTCATTTACATCTAATGAATTAGAATAATTATCTAGGCTTAGAATAACATTTTAAGACATCAGACATGGCAAATAAAAAAACAACAAAAAATAAAAATAAAGCCCCACTATTTAAAAAATACCTAAGTATGTAAAACAATAATTATGTACTATGCTAAAATATTTTTACATGACCTAAATATGTTGCATGTTTAATACGACAAGTTGCATGCAGTTGTAAAATTGAATATAAAAATAAATGCAGCCACTTTTTTCTATATTAATTAATTAATTTAAATGTTTTAACTTCTGGCAATCTGAACAATTAATATGTGATTATTCAATATATTAAAATATACTGAATGTTTAAAAAATCTTTACAGTAGTTCGTAGCTTCCTGCATGTTGAATTAGAACAATTATCTAAGCCCAAAATAGCATTTTAAAAAATACTTCAAATGTTAAAAGAAAACAGATTTGGATGTACTAAGTAAATAAATAATGATTCTCCTCATTTTGAATTTTGGTGGCATTTAACCAAAGCCCTGGCTAATTTCTCACCCTGCTCAATATATAATATAATCAAAAATATGAAATATGTGCAGCTATAAAAACAACATTTTGACAGTCCAAAAACACAGATGTTAAAAATATATCGCATATTTTAACGTATTTTAAAATACCACTCACTTCAAGTTTTTGCATTGTGTCTTACTGAATACTGTACATTTTTTAAATTTAGTAAAAAGTGTTTGCTGTGCACAGTATGCATTCTATATACTGAAGAAATAGTACCTGTAGTGTGCTAGTATGCCATTTCAAACAAAGCCTGAGCTCTATCTGG